ACAATCTCTCACAACCTGGTTTGAAGCCAAGCTTTTGATTGTGTTCACTTCTGCCAGCTTCAAAATACTGAGAACAGACAGGGCCACAAGGAGCCAGTCATTTTTTATTTGTATTTTTTTTGCACGTCTGGCCATTTGTTCCCCCCAAAATTGTTGTTACAGGTAGAAGTCACCATAGCTTTTGTTTCTATTCAAAAGTATCTTATAGTGCTCATCTCTGAAGGATAGCATGGTGACATTTGCAACCGGATACTTTTCACAATAGTTCTAACAACCATTGTAGGCTAGACTCTATAGACTATGGGGGGGGGGAGGAGTGACACTAGGAGCAGGATGATGCAAAAGTTCAATGAGTTCAATTTTCTCAACAGGGACCATCAAGCCCAATAGGGCTTTCTATTAATGTTGTTTTACAGCAAGTATGAATCTGACTAGAAAGATTAAGAACTGCCTGGTTCACCTACAGGTTTCCTTTATTCCTTTCCTATGTTAATTACATGAAAGCACATGCTGACCAAGGGCTTACCTGCTTTTGGAAGCAGGATGAAACAAGACCAAAGCCAGTAGAAAAACAGACCCAAGCAATGCAAAACATGGGTTCAGCTTTGCCCTGGTTTTAGGAAAACTGCACAGAGCTAGGAAAATATTGACTCAGATCTTGAAAGGAGATGATACAGAAATGGCAGGTCCAGAACCAATGCTGTGTGAAGAGGGACCCTGTATCTTTTCTTACAAGGATTCTGTATGCAAATCAGATGTCCTTTAAAATGCCCTCAGATCTCAGCCTAGGTAGGACTACCATATTTTGGTGGCACACACACAAATGTCCACTAGATGGCAGCACCAAGTTAGTTCTCTTTCTTTGCAGCCATCTCATGATTGTTTTTGAAGCCCAAATGTGATAGTTAGGTATAATCAGGTCATATATATCGAAAAAAGAGAAACCTCAGCGTTGTTGCATGGAAGCTAACTTCTTTAGCCATAAATACATAACTATGGAGAAGATAATAGAGAATAGCTAAACTACACTATAAAATCACAGGTGAGGCACATTTATGGCAAAATAATTTGAAATTCAAAAATGCATAATTTTCCTTATTGTAGATACACTCCTGATGTAATAATATATAAAATTATTATCTGCATCCTGCTGCTATTCTGGCAGCAGCAGCCATCTCCTTTTTAATCTCAGAATGCTCTGAATAACACCAAGTGATCAGAGAACGAAGGTTAAATCTACCAGGAGCCTTTCTTGCACAGACAGGCTTTAGGGAAATAAATGGAGATTTGTGCACAAGAAGATCCTGGAGGATTGTGCTCAGACGAGATGCCAAAACTGTCCCCATCTTCAAGACTCAGGCACATCAAACAGATGAAAATTTTCTTCTTCAATTTGCCAAGGAAGTTAGGAATTTTTCATTGTCATGTTGATGCTTTAGAAAAAGGAAAGGAAAAAGAGTCAGTACAATGGATTATTGTTACATATGTATCCAGAACTTCCTCTAAGGAGCAAAGGGCAGAACACACATATACCTAGCCCTAGTAAGTCCCATCTGGTTACTGCCCAGGTGCAGACATTACACATGATAAAAGCTGAACCCTCTCAAATATCATTTGAACTTTTATTCTGCTTCATTATAATGCTTCCCTCATCTTTTTCTCCTTTTTAAGGCATGACCTAAATGTTCCAGGGCTTCACATGAATATCCATGAGGGGAGGGAGAATGACAAAACATGCATTGTGACATCATGATGTAAACTCCATCCTTTTTGTACATACATCATGACATCATAAGGAGTAGAGATTGCATCAGAACTTCACAATGAACATTCTGCATTCTAACAAAACTTTTGGATTCTATGGATAACTCTGAACTTGATACCTCTGCTGGTATAAGCATTCAGCAGAAACAAGATTATTATTATTACTGTATTACTATTATTACTATTATTATATTTTTATCCTTTTTTTTTGTCAACTCAAAGCAGCAAACATACTTAATACTCCTGCCTCCTATATAATTCTCTACTGTAAGCATTAAAGTTGTGCTTTAATGGAATCTTTTTTTTTTAAGTGCCAACAATGTCAATATACTTATTGACAGCATAGATACACAGCACTTTAGGCTTGGTAGCAGAAAGGGGTAAGTTTACACTGTCTTATACGTAAACTATAAGTCAGTTAGTGTTGGTGGGGGTGTGGTTATCTCCTTGGGGGAACTTATGGTATTCTTTTCTGTCTGATTGTTTGTCTGGGGTTAATCCCTGCTTATCTGGGTGATGGCTGCTGGAGAGGATGTGTTCTGGTCTTTTTGTTTCCTCCTTAGCTTTTTTTTGTTTTTGTTTTTTGCCTCTTTTGATTGGTATGTAAATGTGGTTTATCTCTATGTGTCTATTGATGACCACATTTACACACCATCTAAAAGAGACAATAAAAAAGCTAAGAAGGAAACAAAAAGACCAGAAACCCCACACACAAACAAAAAGGCCCCAAATCCCACATTCACTAGAACTGATGATGTTACCTAGTCAAGTAATGAAATGCCTGCAAACAAACAACCAAGTTCAGAGAGCACCAAGGACTTCACATTTTAACCCTTGAGCCACATAATTCTCTTCTATTCTTCCCATATAACCAAGCAAGATTGTATCTCAGCCAATTCCACAGGACCTGCATAGCCAGAGTTCAAATCCAAGCAGATCCAACTGATTTTTTTCAACAGATGCCTGGAAAAATCCTCATAGCAATTGTTTCCCTGGGCCCACCTTACCAAGTCACCCTAAGCAGGTCTAGCTATCCACAGACACAGTAAGAATGGAGAAATAAGCATGGCAAACAACCTGAAGCTTATTTGCAGGCCATCTTACAGGACAACTTATTATCCATTCCTATTTGCATAAAGAAGGGTTCTATAACATATTCTAATCCAAGAACATTGGCCTTTGAGTATTGTACAGAGGACTGCATTCCAAAAAGTGGGCAGGAATAAACCAAAGAAGTGGATGGGGCTGGGAGAAAATCTGAAGTTGACTTAATTACATTGAATGAAAATGCAATTCATGTAAATGTGATTTTGTATTTAATTATATTCCTATTTTATCACATTATAATTATGTTTTCACAGAAACGGGTGGGGGGGGTGTTTGTATTTAGGACCATGCCCAGGGCTTTGGGGAGCAGAGTTTCTGCAGGTCTAGCACAGAGGTGCAAGTCTGGCATTAACTAGCTTTACTCTAAGGCACACCTAGAATCTATCAGATTTGAGAGGCCTGCAGTTGAAAAGTCTAACAGGAAGCCCATAACTTTTATTACACATCCATACAAGCTGGCTACTTGCCCAGTCCAACATGACCTAAGAATCTTCCTGTTTCTGAACTACAAAATCATCTGAAACTTAAGTGTTTGTTTATAACACAATACCTCTCCTACCTCATTCCCCACTTACAGTAAACAAGGCATGGGGTGATATACTGTGGAGCAAAGAAACAGAAAACAAGTGTTTTCTTCCTCTAGTAGTAGTTACCATTATTGCACTTTATATTAATGGATTAGTCCAAGGTACAATGCCATCCAATACCATAACTGATAAGAAAAATAGATCAATTTATTACCAGTAGTAGTCAAGCTACTAAACACACTTTGATTATCTTTTGTTTGAAGGCCCATTTTAAAACAAAAACAACTTTGTTAAAAATTAAAAGTAAGGATATTCTACAATTATAGTCTTTTAAGATTCTATAATTTATAGTCCCAATCAAGACATTAATGGTGGACTTGCAATGACTAACTTTCATGATTAACCCACTCTGGACTGGATCCTTGATATCTCTTAGTACCTTTACAAAATTGGGTTGAATACAAATTCTAACAGTAGAACAGCGCAACTGAAATCAATAGAACTTAATGAGTCACACTTAAGTCTGAATATAAATTAAGTACAGTCCAACCCTACGTTTCTTTTACAATTTGCAGAATAATAAATAACTACTACCAGATGTACTACATTCATTTATTGTTTTCTTTAAGGATTAAACACTGATGTACTGTATGTTTCTTCTAACATCATGTTTTCACAAACCATAAAATGACATTCAAAACATGCAAAACACTTCTGCTTTTTTATAAAAGCATTTACTGTTTGCTATTCAAACCACAAAGGCAAATGAAAATGCAGCTCCATGAAAGATTTTACAGTGAATACAAAAAGGTGAAGGGACAAACAAAAAAGAAGGTTGGGTACACTCCAGAAAGTTATAGTAAAAAAGTTTTCCATCAAAACAAGGTTGCAAATTATGTCCATTGTCTTAAATTGTTAATTAAATAAGCTGAAAGTATTAACATATACTTTATTAGCCTGATAATAGGGTTATGTCATGTATTACTACATGTTTATAATAAACTTGGCAGCAGCTTTTATGTAAGTGAACCTTGACCCACTGACTAAAAGTATTTTGGATCTCAAAGAGACTACCTGGAGTTTACCCAGTTCTTCTGTGTCTCTTGCATAATGTTATTATTCTTATATACTCATATATAATGGATTGTCTATTAAATTCTTACTCCTGTTGGACTGAAGTTATTTCTGGCTCATTTGAAAGACAGCTTGCTCTGAATGCAAGAAAAAATGAAAAGTAATAAATATATTCTTATCTTGTTTGTTAGGGATAGATATTTAGAGATACATATTTACTGTAAAAACAGAGCAAAGACATTTTCACAGACACACTCATTTGATCATTCATACACACACACACACACACACACACACACGGTGTTCATTAAATAATGTCTCCCCAATGGGCATCAGAAATGCTCACCAGAATAAATGTTAGGCTGTAGAGTGCTACAAGACTTTTTGCTGTTTGTAGCAACAGACTAATTGGAACATAACTTTGGAATCAATTGCTGCTAGAAGTTTCAAAAATAATGCATAAGTATGTTAAGAGTTTGTAGTTTCAAATACAGCAACAACTATTCCTATGAACAATTACCTCAGATAAGCCTTTTAGAGACTTCCTTTTGCATAAGCATAGATAGGATCAGGATATAAGATAGTCATACGAATACAACCGCATCTTTAATGCGGGCTGAAAAATGTATCATACAAAGGATAAATGTACATTAAAATGTAAACTGTATTTTCTATAATTCCATGACTCTGAGCTGCTGCATTGATATTACCCATAATTACCAAATATAGCATCACATCAAGGCACAAAGCTATAATCAGAGCAGTATGAGACTAAGATAGTCATGACAGATTTTCAACTGCTGTGAACAGCTCTGTTGATGCAATATATCAAAATCTTGCTTGTGGTCATCATCAAGTGTAGTGGGATTGCAAACAGATAGGCAGATTGGAGTTACATCACTAAAAATAATTTTATGCATCATTCAAAATAGATACATCTTCACAATAATGTACTGGAGTTCAACTTCATACCAGCAGCTTATTCAAGCTTTCTGAAATGGCTGCTTTGATCCACAAAGTTACTACTATAATCACATTATAAGGTAACAAAATCTGCATTTTTCAGGCTGCTAAAGCTCATGCAATTGACAGTCTAGGTACAGCCAGTCCAGCAAAAGACTATTTAGGCTTGCGGTAACTTATTAGCAATTCTTGCTGACGGTCAACCCCCATTTTAATAAACCTCAATTCAGTGGACTTTGGATGCAATGAACAAAATCTGGACTCCAGACAAGAAACTTTGCCCCAGGTAACGGACAAAGGCTATTTGTGAATCACACTGGACAATGTTTGTACATTTTGAACATTATGTGCATGTTATGTACATCTACATACATTTTATAAATTTTATAGGATATAGATTATGTGTGTTTTATATGTGCAAAATCCCACGCACTATTTAATGAATATTTGACTCTAAAAAAATACCCTTTCCCCCATCAGTCCATTAAATTGACGGTTTACTGTGTTATGGTAGGTCTCTCTATCTTTCTTGCCCATAAAATGAATCCTCATGACAATGTAAAGTCCTGGGCATGAGTAGAACTATATTCTCTGGAAAATTCTTTGTGATCTTCAAAAGACCTAGTCTGATTTAGAATACATAAAGGGAATAATTTTATCATCCAGTTTGCTAGATATCATATTCTAGTCTAGCTTAGTCAATTAAATTGGTCAGTGATAACTACTTTTATCCTAAGAAAAAGTCAACAAAATCACTCTTTTAAAGAAAAATTATCAGAAAACACATTAAATTAAGAAGTAAATTTAGCTAAAACCTTTGAATCGATTTTCAAGTAAATGTCTTTGAATATATTATTTGGATTATCATTTCTAACAAAGATATAGTAGATTTATAAAATTTGGTGACATAAAGGCAGAAAGTGGATGCATCCAAACTAAAGGCATGTTTTTAACTCATTCATAAGATTCTTTCTTTACTCTCAACCATCTGTATTATGGCAACTTATCCAGTCCTAATACCTCCAAGTTACTGAAAAGTTACTCAGTTATTGAAAATTGGTAGACGCTGAAAAGTGGGCTTGGGGCATACAAAGCCTTAGGGATTACCGGTTGTACACTATGCTCTAAAAAATAACATTTTACCTAGCAATTATGATTTGACTGAACTAGGATGCTGCTGAACTAATTCTCAGGATCCCTAAGCCATGCTGCAGCCCTATACACATTTACGTGGCAGTAACATTCACTATTCTCAGTGGCGCTTACTTCTGTGTAGACATGTGTAGGATTAATATGCATTTTCTTAATGGTTAATCCTTTTTAAAAATGAAAATGTAATACCAGTTGTTATTAGAATTCTGTCTTACTTTGCTGATGCCTCCCTCAGCTCTTCATCCAGTCTGTATGAGTAAAAGTTATTGATGCAGGAGAAGAAGCAAGCAGAGCATAAGACAGAAGCAAGGAAAAGCAGAATGTCAATCAAGCAAGGAACATGCTTTTGAAATTATGCATCAACAGAATATTTTTTTCTAAAGTCTCACTGATTTTGATTTCATTTTTTATTTATATATATTTAGTCCATGTACAGGCAGGTCTTGTAAAGCTTAGCAGGAGTCTGCAGCATGCGTGCTGTACAAAGCTGACAAAGCGATTGAAGTTAAATCCAGAATAGGCCAAATATAAGGAAATTTATAACTGATCTCAATAGCTCATGCATGAAGTTCATTACACAGAGCTATGGAATCTTTTTAAATGTCAGCTGCTGAATCCTATACCGCCTCACACGTCCTCAGTCATTTAAAAACATCAGCACAGGCTGCAGCAGAGCAAGAGTTTTACCTTACTCTTCTCTGAATGGATCTCTCTTCATCATACCTTTCAAGATAAAAGTGGGTGAAGGACAAAAATGTACAAAGTCAAATAATATACAGACATCACATTTATCCCAAAGGAACCTATTCCCAATGTCAAGTTAAAATGTAGAGTCAGCACTGAGGCTCTTGTATATGCATCTCATGTCAATGCAAATGTATGCTAAAATGTCTATTTCAATGTACATAATATGATCCTTTGGACCTTATTTACTGGGCTACAGACTTGCTTTGATATTAGTGGGTTGGCATGTTTACATTGAGGTCTACTATGCACACAGTAAGAACTGGTAAAAACCATGAAGTATTCTGGTTTTTCCCCATCTTGGCACTGTCCAGCTATACTGAACTAATATCCCATCATCCTTAGCAAGTCCTAAGAGTTTTGGATTGGAGAATAACTTATCAAGCATACAGTCCCCAAACCAGAAACCACTGATGTTTCCCCAGAACATCAGTGCTCAGAGCATGAACACTTTGATACTTTCCTCTCCACATTCTGTAAATAAAATATATTCCCATTCTACAATGTCTCATGCAGTTCTCAAAAATATTTTGAAAACCACTGATTTCTACTTCTGCCAACAGATGGTATGAATAAATTACTGCGGCAATAACACATTGGAATACATTCTTAGATCTTTCACAGAACCATAGAGTTGAAAGATACCAAAGAGGCCATCTAGTCCAACTCCTGCTTAGTGCAGGATCCGCTACAGCATCCTGATACAGCATCCTTTATTGTGAGCTGCCCAGAGTCACCCATTGGGGGAGATGGGCGGCATACAAATTTGAAAAATAAATAAATAAATAAATAAGTAAGTAAGTAAGTAAGTAAGTAAGTAAGTTACCATTCAGCCTCTGTTTGGAGACCTCCAGTAAAAGAGAACTCACCACTTTTGTGTGGCAACCTGTTCCAGCTCATACACTCAGGAGTTCCTCCTGACATCTAGCCCGAATTTACTTCCCTGTAGTTTTAACCAATTGGTCCTGGCCCTGCTCTTTGGGGTAATAGAGAATAAGGCCACTCATTCAACCTTCAGATACTTGAAGAGTGCTTTCTTATCTCCCCTCAGTCATCTCTTCTGTAGGTTAAACATATTCAGATTCCTTAACCATTTCTCATAGGGCTTGGTTTTCTTTATACAAGGAATCATATTGTAACTTAAATTGCGTTTTTAAATTTTAATCAAACAAACAAGATAAACAATTATTTCTAGTGCTGTTCAGTTTTAATCACAATGTTGATTACATTGTAAATATTATATATTATTACTCAGAAAATATTAAATTTCCTTAAAAATAGCAATCCTTTTGTTTTACAGAAGTAACATCTCATTATTGTTCTCCAAATGTTCTTCACTTACTTGACAATACTTTCTGGGACATTTACATATTCCATTGGAATTAGTTCATTAAGATCTGCCAAAGTGTTGACATATTGTATCTTACTACTGAATTTTGAACTGAAACACAAAAAACACAATTCACTGGTTAAGCAATATCGATCTATAAAATTCAACTCCGTGTTAACTAACAAGCTGCTGAATAACAGGCTGGGCTATGGATGATCTTAGCTATATGTGTAACATTGATATGGTACATTTTCAATGTTCAGACTACTTTCTTAGATTATTTCAGTAATTCTCATATGAACCTCATCTAAGGTAACCTATTTAATTTGTTAGGTGAGATCTAGACAGGGACTTCTTAACCCTCAGTTCATGTATTCCATGTATTATCACTACAGTGCTTCTTCTGCAAACAATTTTTTCCACTCATATATATTCTAAATTAATGATTTAATTCAGGATTATCAAACTATGGGTTGGTAACCTTCGGGGGCTCATGAGGAGCTTAGAAGAGGGATCACAGCATTATTTTAAACCTGATCAGCTTGTACAAAGAATGAGCGCTCACTTTGCCTGCACCAACCCACGGAACACAGATCATTCTGTGATAATGTGATATATAGGTTAAAATGTAATTTTTATAAGTAAGTGGTACATTTACTTCTTGTTAGTTTTACTCATTGTGAAGTTTCACAAATATATTTATCATTTTGGAGGGTCACAATAGCACAAAGTTGAATCAGAACCTCCTTTAGTGTTCCCAACTGCTAATCTCACAATAAAAGCAGTTTCTGATTATGCAAAAGCTCAGCATTTCTGAGAGTCTGAAAGTGATACCTTATAAAAGGCCGTGTCACAGCTAGAATTGTCCTTATAAACCAAGAGGGGTGAACTATGATGAATGATTTCAAATTCTTCCTTAATCTGTATTTAAAAAGAAAGTTATTTTAAGCCATCAGAATGAAATACATTGGTTGAGAAAATGAAAGTCACATGTTCATCATGTATAGTCACTGTCACACACTGATTCACACACTTTTGGCATGCAATCTAACATGTATTTTTTCTTTAACTCCAGGGATATTCAAAAGGTACAGCTTGCATTTAAAGAGAATGAGACAAGAGGATTTAAGATAATAAACAGACTAAGAAAGATACTAGTCAGAAAATATAAATGATCCACAAACCGCCGGTCAATCATCTGGTAGCATCTTTTCATCCATCCCAGTCCTGGCATCTTTCTCCTTGGGGTTGCTCCATTTAAGTAAACAATCATATAGTCTTCAGCAACCATAAGCTCCAAAGTACTTATTACATATCTCAACAAAAAGAAGAAGAAAAAGAAAAAGATGTGGGGAGAAACAAGCAATATTTTCCTCTTAAGACCCTATGCTCTAGCATTTAACTAATACATAGTTTCCAGAAATGAAATTGGCAATTGAGGGAGTTCTACAGAAAAAGGGTAATTCCACCCGAATGCTAAGTAACTGCACAGTTATCAAACTGTCAAAGTTTGATGAAAAAAGAAAAAAGAAAAGGTCAAACTGTCACTCCTCTGGAAGTGTGAAATATTTAAATAAAAAGCCCATGCTAATTTTCTTCAGGACATGAGAATCACAGTACAAGTAAATGTCTGTGCTCACCCCCATTGCCAGGGAATTTAGGAGCATTTCTGGGACAGGGTGCAAGGTAAGTATATAGTCTGGAAATTCAAACAGAACTCTTGACCTAAATGGCTTTTCCACAATCAGAAATTACAGTTTTATCATGGAATTATATAGGACTTCAGCACCAGAAGGTTAGGGGCAGCTCAAGTAAATCTTTCTTTAAAAATCAAGGCTCAATTCACTCTCATCAAGAGCAAAACAGGAGTCACTTCCCCATGGCTTCTTTCCTAGTATATTTCAATTTTATTTTTCTTTCTTTATACAAACCGAATATCTGTTTGACTCAAAAGAACTAAGCATCAAAGAAACATATTGCCATGGCTTTATGTCTCTTTTAAACTCTGCACTTTTCTCTTAATGGAAATCCTCTATTTCACCACATGAAAGAGTTTTACTACAATGTTTCCATACTCACAGAAAAAGATTTTCCATGACATACGTATAATCCATTTGACTGCTATCCGGTAGAAAACATGCAGCAAACACAATGATAGCATTCAAGCCATCACCATAGTATCCTGTGGAGTCAAAAATACATGTCTCACAAACAATTCTTAACACAACGGAATTGGCAGGCCTCATGAGGAATTGAAGCCACCTACCACCAATTGCATATTTCGGGGCCAGGGGGTATAAGTGCCAGGTGCCACTTACTCTGCTAAAGAGAGTTGGGGATGGGACCAATATTGAATAGTGGCATTCTAGGTGACATTTTAATGAGGGAGGGAACCTGGGAAGCTCAGTGCAATGTATTCAACAGCACTGAACCACAGACAAAGCTGCCCCCAAACCTGAATGTCTCATGATATCCTATTTGATATAACAATGCTCGACAATGGAGATTTTCCCAGTGAGCTTTCTCACTTGGAGAACTGATAGTTGCATCTATTCTAAAAATCTCAATTCAAAACAATTCTAGAATTAGCAAACCCTAATAAGTAGGTAGATCAAAGAGAATAAATGAAAGAACTGAGAGAACAGATGCTAGTCATGAAAGGCTTATACAGTTCTGCCATGCCTACAACTCCCTGGCCAGAACCATAGGCCAGTTTACTCATCAGGCAGTCCACAGGAATTGCCTAAACCTGGATGAAACTCTTAACAGGCTGGCATAGAGATACTGTTAGTATGAACCACTGCTATACATTGGAGATGTAACATTCCATATCAGGGCTAAATTGCAGCAGTTAAAAACACTGAAAAAGAAAGAACCTTTTCTTTTTCAAGGAGATCCTGCATTTGTACAAAAAGACACCGTTTTGTTACAACATAAGACAAAATCCTAGTCTCAGCATATCCAAACCCTACGTCACATATATTGATTTAAATGGGGTATGGAGAGGAATCTGCAGTAATAGACATCATTAAACTGTACTTTACAATAGTCCCAGTAAATCTGGCTATGCTTGGGATTACACATTGTATTAAACCATGATTTCCTCAACCTTGAATTGTTGAACAAACCACAATGGCTGGATTCACACATCATACTAAGCTAGAGACCAAGGATAAGCAACTTTTCTAACTGAGGATTATGGCTGGCATTTGAGTGGTGCGTTGGAGCTGCACTGGATTTAATTAAAACAAATTAATTAAATCAAATCAATATGATTACATTAATCTCACATTTTAATCATTTCTCCTTTGGAGACAAATTCTAGAGAGGTTCTGAAGGCTGTCCAAATAGCTTTCAGGTGCATATGCTGCTGTGGGTCTTTATGCTGTGATCCTTTGCCATAAACCATAGTATACAGACTACAATGGCTGGTTTCACACCATATACTAAACTCAAAGCAACACTGCACGTGTTTCTGTAATATACAGCCTTAGAGATGTAATATACAGCCTTAGAGATGTACCATGAACACTGAATAAATTGTTTTCTTCTATCTTTTTTCTTTCTTTAAGCTCTTCCTTTCCTTTGTATCCAGGAATCAGAGATCTGGAAAGTGGAGTATATCATGCCCAGAATAAAATAATTTAATGACTCATCAACCCACTTATTTAATATGAAAAGCATATTGTTATTATAGCTACATGATGGAGTTTTCAATAGCCAAAGAATTCATTCAGTACCTCACAAATTCTGTTTTATTCAAAGGAAACTTATTCTAAATTTTATTTTAGGTGTGCAAGACCATTTACAATTAGGGTACTTTCAAATGTTTTGTAATTACTCCACACTAGTGTAATTAATAAATCAGATTTTTTTTTCTGTACCTCCATGAGAAATAACTTTTTTAAAAGGTTCAATTGCTTTCATATCAATCCTCTGCTCCTGGTCTCCAATAACAACGGTTCTCCATAACCTGTTGTCTTCCCGTTCTTCTTCAGCAGTATATTCTGGGATGGATTCAGATTCCTCTTGAGAAATTTCTTTAATGGCTGGTTGCTCTTCTGAAAATACAAGAAAAGAGAATTTAAATAAGCAGTTGTTGATATAAGAAAAACCTGTTTTACCCAGCAACAAAACTGAATTTCTGAGTTCCACTCTGAAATCAATTGTACAGTTAACTGAATGACACTATTCTCAAAAATAAGGTACATGAATAAGAGTCCTTCCTCCTTTTTTAAAAACTTTATTGTAGCACTCCATTTTCTTCTATCAATGCAATCAATGAACAAAAATTCTTAAACCAAAATTGTATTTATTATTATGTTACATAGTGAAAAAGAAAGAGAAAAGAAGATTTAAAGAAAAAAGAAGATTGACAGTTCCCTACAATTAAAAAAGAAACAATTTTCAAGGTACCACACCCATTCCACTGCAAGTTTTTCATAGGAGCACTATTAAACAAAAACAAAAAAGCAAAGGAAATCAACCACCAAAACAAGACAACAGGTAAATCTAAGCAGAATAAAAACTCACAATTGGATTCAACGTCACAACATCTGAACAATAAGCTACTTATGTAGAATATTCCTTTCTAAAAGCTTCTAATATTAGAACAAGAACGAACTTGTGAACTTTTAGATGTTGCTCAATTACAACTCCAACAGCCTCAACCACAAGGATGCGGGGAGTTGCAATTCAGCGACAAGTGGAAGGATGTAAGTTGCCCATTCAAGAACTAGAAGTTCAACAGGCAATGTGTCACTAGTAAACTGTTTTCTCATTAAGTTTTCTGCACCACTCATGTCTGGTATTCCCTTCAATTTCCTGCTTCCATCATTTGAGACAAAGGTCAATTTCTTTAACCTTATACTTTACAGAAAGGACTAACAAATTCATTCTCAAAATAGTTCAGAGATATTTGAGAGGCTATGGGATAGACACTGCTTTAATGTGTTAATGTAATCATATAGGAGAGCTGAAACATCTACTGAACTCTACTAGACATTTGATGATTCAGGTTGCAATTTAATTTGAACCATACTGACATTGTTTCCTATGAATATACAAACTGAAACATCAGTTGCATTAAAAGGATCCCATTGTGCTAGTTGGAGTTGAATGTTTATTAATAACGCCTGCTAAATCATTCTGTGATTAAACCTTTCATTAAGTCCCAACCACAGGAGGAGCACCTTAATCACAATCTGAAATCATGGTTCTCATTTTTATTATAGTCCAGCATGTCACCGAAACTCAGACATGGGATTTAATCTACAGTTAACATCCTATTGAGATTCATGGCAGAGGGATAGAAGATTTGTGAGGCAAAAATGGGGCCAATCCAACTGCAGTGTCTTTATTCCAATCTACAGATAAAGAAGGCTTAACATTCCCTCAGCCAGCCCACAGAGTCCCCAAGTCCCACCGAGACATTGTGTGTTCTTTCTGACAGAAGTATATAAAACAAACCAGGAAGTGTCTGCTGGTCAACTACGAGAAAGATGGCTAGAAATCAGCCAAAATAGAAGCTAACTAGCAAACCCTAGATTGGCTGCCATATTCTCTGGTGATAAAAGGATGGGTAAATAGTTAATGCCAAATTTTACTTAATATGTTGTCAGAGTATAAAGACATTTCAGTAACACCTGAATTATTATGATGAATATAAAACGTTCAGTTTGCTGTCTTTTACAGGATAATGCTATTCTGCCCCTGTTGTTGGATTTATTTTTTTGTTTCCTGCTCTTTCCCATTCATTTTTTGAATATAAAAATAACTTAAGAGTTCTTGCTTATTCACCTGGTGAGAAAATTAATTGCCGAGAGACCCAGAATGCAGTGTTTATGCTTGGATTACTATTGTATATCTTGTAGGAAATGGAAAAATTGGCATTATTAACTTTGAGTTTAAATAACAGTTATTTGGATTAAGGTAAGATATGTTTTTAGACCCAAATTTTGATAATAGCTGCAGGGTTATACACTTTTACCAAAAAAAAATATCACAAAAGAGCATTTTCTGGTATTTAACCTGGATGTTGTCACCAGAAAATGAAAAAAGCAAACTAGATTTGATTTAAAACATGTGATATTAACTAGAAAGGAACAGTATTCAAAATTCATGTTGCATTGCTAACATATGTTTTCCATACTACTGTTCTAATTTAATTCTAATGCATCTCAGGTTTAATCTATACATATAATAGAACCGATTAAGCCCTTGCTGGATGGTGCCACTTCCAAATTTCAGGTAGAAGCCTGCATGTGTGAATCACAAAGGGACAGTTTTTAAACTCATCTCTTTCCATGAGTATGCTTATAAAATGTATCAACCCCAAAGAGTTCGGTTGAAATAGGGAATATTTTAAATCAACATATTTTGCCAAAAATGCAGATTAATTAAATGACCACTAATTGCACTATACTACACTGACATGTGACTGAGATTTTCTGTTTGCTCTCTGCTATAGACAGGATGCTGGTGTAATGGACTTTTGTTTGAATTAGGAATTCTGGGTTCTGATTGACTATAATAAATAAGTTTTATTTTCACTTAACTATGAATACAAAAATTTTCTATTCTAATGTACCCAAAGACATTAATGGCTTTGAGAACTGCATGCTGCTTTGTCAACATTTCTGTGGAAAACAGGAACACTCTGTAATCAAGAATATTAATTTGATACTTTATTTTAAATAATTTTGAAGCTTCAAAAGGTCAGCTACATTAAATTAATCTGATTACATAATAAGAAAGATAATAATTGACTGCACGGATAATTAGCGATACTGAACATACAAAATAAAGACTATAATCCAATAAAATGCATAAGTCCACATGTTTTATTTTCTTCTTTTAATAGGTAGAAAAGAAAAAGGGGAAAAGGAAAAGGAAAAGAGAATAAAAAAGGAGAAAACATATTAACCTTCTTTTTAAAAGAAATCATTAAACTTTGATCATACAAGGTAATACTCGTTGGTTCTTCCAATAGACTGATAGCAGGATGATAAGCAGTAAGCAAACATATATTTGTGATTCAAGACTATAAATCTGGGATAGCCCTAATTTTCCAACAATGAACTATGATCTTTTTTGCTACTCTACAGGACTGATGAATCCATAATTCATTATATAGCAATAAATAAATTCCAAGTTTTTGGTAACTGTAATAATCTTTTTAACACCATAATACCAATCTTATGGATATAAAATCAAAAGGAAGCATTAAAAGAAGCCCATATTTACTGTTGAATAAGAGTACCCTCATCCATTTAATTATTCTAATATAATGAAGTTAATAATCAACATAGACTCATATTTAACTTCAAACATGTAAATATGGATTGTTTGCAGAGATACACATAAGATTAAACAGCTCTAAGGAAAAGCAGAACATGCTACTTATATAAAAAAGGATTGTGGTCAAACTGTAGAGCCAGTGTTATAGTTACAAGGTTGTTGGTTCCTTAGAGCTGTGTAATCTGTGTAAAAAACATTGGAGAACTGAATAATTATGAAGAAATGATGTACAAAGTGTAAAAAACAGTTCTCTGCTGGTATTTGGATTCCTATGGTATGATGGAGAAAGACAGAAATCCATAGTTCTAAAACAAAACATGTATTTATTTTAGGGTTAGGGTTAGGTAATATAAAGGTATCATAGCTGCATACTAGAATATATCTTCCAAAGATTATACTTGCATCTGGGATCTTTATAAATAACTGAACTGAAAATACTATTTTTCTAATATTACAATATTTCCTGCTATCCAATTAATCAGATAAACAATTTAAATCTTTCAAAACAATTGTACCCAAATAACCAACAACCTTGTAACTATAACACTGGCTCTACAGTTTGACCACAATCCTTTTTTATATAAGTAGCATGTTCTGCTTTTCCTTAGAGCTGTTTAATCTTATACTGCATATCTTTCCTCATGAGCTGACAGCTAGGTCCCTAGAGAATTTTATATCATGCCAAAATGTACTAAAAATAATACAATATACAAACATAGGTGATCACTGCACATTCACTTTTACAAAATTTAATTCATTACCGTGTCCAGCATATTCTAAAGAATCTGCTTCATCTGGCGTGTCAAGATCATCTACATTGATATCAATTTCATCTGGAGTGTCCAGGTTATCATCAGAAAGGACAGAACCTTCACTCTGGTCCAAAGAGAGATTGATATTTGGAGCAGTGAGCTTTATCCTTCTGGGATGAGAGCCATTAAGGTCTAGTGAATTAGGAGGTTCTAAATAAGCATGAAGAGAGAAGAATCTCTGTTTTAGATTAAAACAATGACTCTAAATCACATATACATTAATCTAATTTTTGAAACATGTACTCAACCTATCCAATAGTTTTGTTTATCTGACTTCAGAAAACAATAAATAGGCCTATGAGAGGTGGCAAGGATTCACCTTGATGAAGAGCATCATGATATGGAGGGAACACAATTCTCTTTGTCAATCCAAAAAGTCAATATATGTCTCAATTAGGTGCTTCTCACCAATGCATCTCTCTTGACTGGTATCTGATTTGAAGCCCCCACTAGCTACAGCCCCCTTCATGGATCACTGCCTTGTCGTGGCGAAGGGGCTTGCGTAACTCAGTGAA